TTTGGTTTTATCCAGATGCCTCATTCTCTTCAGGCCATAATAATCTTCCTACTCTTCTTTTTCCGTTGTTTGTTCCCAAAGGGCTTTGGTCACATCTGCCTTGTCATGTATGAGTTCACCACATAATGGTGCAGATCCAGCCAATCTATCTGCCTGTTCATTACCCACCACGCCGGCATAGAAAAAAAATACAAAGTATGCTCACTGCCCGCGACCTTTGCAGTGAAGCTTTCCACTTTACTGGTTCCAGAAAATAGTGACGAGCATAAAAATGGATGCATGATGAAAAACACAACTTGGGTGGGACAGTGCATGAGACAGGAGAGCTGGCACCTCGGTAAATTTTATGCTAGGAATGTCTTTAATGCCCAGATTCCTTTCACCCATATTGCCTAGTGACTACCTCTTCTGAGTAGAGTTTAATCATGAAATGATGTCACGGCACTCGTATATTCCCATAAGCGGGCCGACCTCATCTTCAGCAGCCAATGAAAAGTTCTAATTTCTTTGGTGCCAGTAACAGGCAGATTATACGTCCGTTTCTCATTTCCTCTAATTTTCCATACAGACCCCTCTCCCCACCTCCTGATTACTCCCAGCTATGGTTGTCTTATCTTTCGATTTCAACTTGTTGTGAGTGTTGAACTAAGAAAACAACTGATATTATACCACTTGGTACGTTCTCATAAGCGCATTTTCCTTATCTTCAGCAGCAAGCAATGAGTTCATATTGTGACGGGGCAAGTAACGGTCTGGATTATAAGTCCGCCTCGTCTTTCCTCTAAATGTAGAATCGACCAGATTCCCAGGTCATATCTTCAGAGTGTTACCGGCACCATCGCAGTTGTACTGCCTTTGCTTCCAACAACTATCCATTCCAGGACTGTTTTTTGTTAGTCCTCACAATTTTTAACAATATTAAAATATTTCACCATGCAAAAAAAAAAAAAAAAAAAAATGACAGACTAACTTAATCTGCGAAAGGTCACAAATTTTGGCATGAAATCTGTTTTACATTTAGCATTTTCACACGAGGCAGAAGAACAAGCGACACAGACATACAGACACAAAACACACATACACAAATTGACTTACACATATGGATGAGTCCCCACTGACAACACACACATCGACAACATATACACTGGAATACACAACTCACAGACACATATACACATACAGAACACATACACACGGATACAAAACACTCAGATGCTCACATACAGGCGCGCGAGCACACATACACACACAATAAGAGACACAACATTCATAAAGTCAGAACACATACATAAATGTTTTGAGTTAGTTTTCTAGCATATTAATATCTTCTACAATTATTTTCGTCTGCTTAAGTATGCCCTTAGTAATGCAAGATCAAGGTAAAGGGTACAGTTCTGAAACATGCCGACTGACTGACTGACTTTCTTCCCCACCAACACATCACACAAGCGATACACACCCGATGACACAAAGTTCAGCTGTTAGATCATATTTATGACCGCGCTTTATCGCGGGCACTGGCTTAAGCCAGAGTAGGGCTTCAAAATAATGAAATATTGCATCCTACAAAGGGATGACAAAATAAAAAAGATTGGCATGTCGATACATTTAAGTACTTGGATACCCAGATAACACATGATAAAAGCTGTATACAAGAAATTTGGAAAAGCTCAAATAAAGAAGCATTTCACAAATTGAAGAATATTCTGACCAATAAATCCGTGCTAACTGATGTAAAAAAAAATTGTTCTTAAGTACTATATAGTTCCAATCCTGATATACAGAGGTGAATCACGGTCAGTTAGCCGATTAGTGAGAAAATATGTAACAACCGCAGAGACGTGGTTTTGTAAGAACACACTAGACAGAGACAATAAAAGTAATCAAGATGACCAGAAAGATGTTAACTAACGAAGAGAACGGATTACGCACATCAGAAGGAGAGAATCTACATTTTTTACTCATGTTGTGAGAAGGAGATAAATGGAATACATCGTGACGCTCAGAAACTGGAGGGGGAAGGGAGGGACAGACATTGACCAAGAGAGAAGGTGCTGGACGGTTGGACAGCACGGCTAGGCAGACCATCTTTGTCAGAAATGATTGCAAATACACAAGCCGAAGGTTGTGGATAGACATGACTACTAAAACCACGTAGTATGGAAGATTTTGACTGTAGGTACACACGGCAGAAGATTGTGGATAGACACGACTACTAATACCACGTAGTATGAAAGATCATGATTGTAGACACACGAGGCAAAAGATTGTGAATAGACATGACTACCAACACCAAGTAATACGGACGATAATGATTTTAGGTACACAAGGCAGAAGATTGTGGATAGACATGACTACCAACACCACGTAGTATGGAAAATCATGATTTCAGATACACGAGGCAGAAGATTGTTGATAGAGATGGCTACCAACAGCACCTAGTATGGAAGATCATGATTGCAGATATACGAGGCGGAAGACTGTGGATAGACATGACTATCAACACCGGCTAGTATGGAATATCATGTATTTCAGAATTGACTGAAAGTACACGAGAGAGAAAGTTGTGGACATACATGACTAACAAAGTCTCACGACATGAACTATAAAAAGTATGGGTATGTAAAATGCAAACGTTCTACTTATCTTCAAACTTTTAATAAAATTAGCAACATTTTACAAATATCAGTGAATAAAATAACAAAGAAACTTCATCAAACAAAAAGCTTTTTTAGTTAAAATAATTTAGGGAAACAAAAAGATCATGGCAGGTATGAGACAGCAATACGAATGTGAAGAATTGTCAAAGTAAAAATAAATATAATGATAAAAACATAGCAATGAAAACACCGTATAAACATTTGTTATTCCAAATAAAACCAAAAAGACAGCCTATGAACATGAGATATTTCCCACATGATATGGAAGACTTCGTATTACATTGGATGCCACACATAAAAGAAAAAAGACATAATGTATCAATTGGATATGTAACAATAAAATGACAATTATTTCATTGCACATAATTAATGAATGTCTCGCAAACAAGGTTAAAAAAACAGTTTTCAAAGTGAACAGAGGTCAAATAAAATACCATAACAGAAGCTTTTATTTATATGTCTGAACTATGGAATTGCATGTAGTTTCTTCTTTCCCTTTCTTTTTTTATCTTTTATGAGACTCAGAAAATTATAATGACATTTGAATATTCGAAATTCAGGACAATCTGCACAGTTGACCAGATGTCTGTGTTCATCACCTCCATATGTTGACCTCATTTTCACTGGTCGATTGGTCACATATATTCTTATTGGACAACTACCTCTAAATGTTGACCACCTCGGCAAGTTGTATGTTGACGATTTAGACTATGACATACACTAGCAAATGACCCTATGTAACTTGTTCAGTCAGTACATTGTCGTGTTATAAAACGCAAAAGTCCATAGGCGTGTTCAAAAAATAAATCTCATAGTACCAAAAGTAGTACTGAGATCAGACTCTCAAAGAGACAGACCAGGGTGAGAGTCTGCTAGGAGTTTGGAGTCTTGAGAAACGTGTTGTTGCCGTCGTTGTTGTTTTTCAGGTAATGTGTTTGGGATTGTCCCTATCTCTAAGGTATACGCCAATCATGCTACCCATAAACAACATCTGTTATTACTCTCCGTAGAGCATGTTGAGAAAGGTGGAGACAGGCATGCTCCGTGCAGAGTAGCAAGCATCACTTAAAGGTCCCGGGTAGTTTGCATCCTTTGTGTATTTTTTCCAGTTCATGCCGTGTCTTGGGAAATGAGCAGGCGGATAGACTGGAGGGTTCTGAACCACTTGATGGTAAACGGATGTATGGCAAGCTTGATGTTGTGAGGGCCCTTTGGGACGGAGTAAACAGTGCCGAAAAACAGAGAGATCCTCACGGTCTGAGGAGAATGGCACTGCGAGGAGTTACCAGGAGATCTGGCCGACGCTCGACACTCAGGGGAAAGGTGAGAAGTATATACAATCAGACCGTTATTGGTAACATCGGAATTTTAACTTTTCCCTTGCTGTTGAAGATGGGGGCAGGGTGCTTATGAGGGGTGTCCCGAGTTCTGTGATGTTGATTTTTAATTCAACATTCTCCATAATCTGACCAGTTTGTTACATTACTTTGGACTGCCAACGTACAGCTAGCTATTCTACTGTAGATTATTTGATTAAAAGAAAATGAGTAAATATAATAAGAACTGTTTGTGTTGGAAAAAGGGGGGGGGGTGGGCGTGGGTAGATTTATGCTACCATTGTAAAACTTGAACCTTTACCCAAAAAAAAAGTGCAAAGTAATAACAACATAGATGAGATGTAGAAGTATACTAGAAAGGAAACATTAAAAGCAACAGGTGAGAGACTCAAACCATGACCGTCTCCAGTATATACTGTAGACGGTCATGGTTTGACCATCTGACGTGAATGACGTGGTCCCAACTGCGACAAAGAGCCACACTGAAGACATTATTGAACACAGCACCAGCTAAAGACCAATCTGAAGATGGGACATTGGCATCAAGAGCATTCCACGGTGATTAAGAACAGCTTTGACAACGAATTAGAAAGAACCCAAGGAAGATATGAACGTTTTTCCCATCACCGCGATAAACTAAGTGGGCGAAGTGGAGGTGAAGAAGAAAAAGAAGAAGAAGAAGAAGAAGAAGAAGAAGAAGAAGAAGAAGAAGAAGAAGAAGAAGAAGAAGAAGAAGAAGAAGAAGAAGAAGAAGAAGAAGAAGAAGAAGAAGAAGAAGAAGAAGAAGAAGAAGAAGAAGAAGAAGAAGAAGAAGAAAAAAAAGAGAAGAAAATGACGATGAAGAAAATAAAGAAGAAGAAAAAAGCGGAGGAAGAGAAGGAGGAGGAAAAGGAGGAAGAAAAGGAAGAAGAAGAGAAGGAGGAAGAAAAGGAAGAGGAAGAGAAGAGAAAGAAGAAGATTCTATCCTTAAAAAAACTACGGATTTGCAGGACAAAGGTAGCCATTAGAACCGTGAAGAAATGCATAAACATACAATCCATACAGCAACAACGACTTCCACAATCCACCCAAGAATGTATGCTGGTGAAATACAGTTACAGCATTCATGAAAGTGATGGTCTGAAACTTCCCCCCTTTTGGCACTTTTAAACAGGATGACAAAAACAGCTTTCAAGAAGTGAAATACATTGACGTATTTCTTTGTGTTGCCTTTGAGAATCAGCAGGTTCACACAGGACTTCGGCACATCTCCAGCCCACAGTGACATCAGCAATGACATGTCTGACAAACACCTGGTTACTTCGTTGTCGTACCCACATGCTTCAGCACAAGACATGATGATCTTGAATGTGCAGAACAGTAAGCTAGCCGATGTGCAGTTAGCAAGCCATGACAGCTGCTCGTTCTCAACAGCCCACCTATGTGAATCATTTTTGCCATCGTAAATGTAAACAATGCACACAATATCGCAGATCATCTCCACTACAGACATGCCAATCTTCACTTTGATGAAGCTCCATCTGCGTTTTGTCATTGGTCTAATGGAAACAAAGAAGCATAATTATTACATATTGATAACATAGACACTATAAATGGTATGCTCTCTGCTTTCTTCTAAACGTATCTCTTTTTGAATGCCCTTTGTTGTTCTAAAACCATAAGTTACGTATACCTCTTGTTGTTCCCACACGTTGGTTATCATACCCACAGAGGGACTAACAGATAGTATGTGTGGGTCCTTTCTGCTGCTCTTGTGATCCTGGTTGGGGGATCCGTTAAGCATGTCAATCATTATTCTGTCTGTAGTTTTTGCGACTTGTGTAAGTTGCGACTAGTGTAAGTAAAAAACCCTTTTTTCACACCTTCAGGCGTATTGTAAATATAGGGCTAGACCTATTTTTTTTTATAGATCAGTCGGCATTCGGTAGGTGATGTGTTTAGCATCACACCGGCCGCCTTTACTTTCCTTGATTTTGCCTGGAACCCATTTAAGACTAGGTGTTCCTAGAAGGTCATTTTTCGAAACAAGTTTCGCTCCGACAGGGCCTGAACCCACCACCGTCAGATCCGCAGGTGAGCGTCTAGTCGCTACACCACGGCCACTCCATGACTTACACATGACTAAATTATTTATGATTAGGTTTGTGATTGTTATATCATGTGTGGTAATAGTCCTTCTGAGCTACAGTAAGGATGCTTGTTATACAAAGTAATCAGTCGAGCCCAAGCGTAAAACTGGTAACAACCAGAATGTGAAGGAGCGATGGGAGGATAGAGGGGAAAAGGGCATGTGTGGTTGGTTGCGTGAATGGATGAGTGGGTCGAGGGATAGATGGGTGGGTAGATGAATGGTTGGAACGATGGATGACTATTTGTGGATGAATGGAACGGTAGATGGATGGATGGATAGACTTATAAATGAAAAGAGGCAAAAACATGGAGCTAGTAACACATTGCTTCTCTCTTACTGTCAGCTATTAAATACAGTAAGGGTGATTTTTATACAAAGTATTTGTCGAGCCCAAGCGCAAAGCTGGTAACAGCCAGAATGAAAGGGAGCGGTGGAACATAGCATTGAGTGGATGATAAGCTGGGTGGATGGTGGGATAAATGATGTGGGTAGATGAATGGGTGGGACCATGGCTATGTTTGTGGATAGATGCAATGGTAGATGGATGGATCGATCGGCCTATTTGTATGCCGATATAATAAATCAAGTAAAAACAAGGGTCTAATCATGTGATGCTTCTCTCTTACTGTCATCAAGCAAGTAAAGACAGTAAGGATGGTTGTTATACAAAGTATCAATCGAGACTAAGTGCAAAATCTTCGTGTTCCCTAAGATACCTTCTGTGTAGGTAGCAGAGACTAGTGATGCATTGTACAGTGGGTGAGTGTGCAAAGAAACGTGATAAATGGATAAACAAATAGATGAATAGGCTGAGTGGATTGGGATGAATAGATGATAGGATATATGGGCGGATGAGAGGTTAAATGGGTAGATGTATGGATGGATGGGTCTGAATGTTTGTTAATCAGGCATCACATGAACACAGGTCTCGTGATGCAGTGCTTCTCTCTGACTGTCAGCTATCACACAGATACAGTAAGGATGATTGTTACACACAGTATCTGTCGAGCCGAAATCGCACACCCCCAGTGTGTACAAACACTTACCATCTCGGTAGCCAAAACGAGTTATGCACACTGTATTCCTGGAGTGCGTTTAAACACTATCACATGATTATTCCACATAGGACAGTGCATCCATATGTAACGGGGAAGAATGGATGGATGAAAGAAAGTTTGTATGAATAGAGGAGAGAGAGGAAAAGGGAAGATAGATAGAGAGAGAGAGAGAGAGAGAGAGAGAGAGAGAGAGAGAGAGAGAGAGAAAGGAGAAGGAAAGGGAGAGAGAAGATGGGAAAGAGAAGTGGAGAAGAGTGAGGAGAAGAAAGACAGCACATCCATTAACACATTTGTTAGCGATATTTGAATTCTTCAACTAAAGCACATAACTTAGCGATAAATAACATTCGTTAGCCGGATCACTATGGTACAGTATTAATATATCCGAAACATTGCAATGCGTTGAAACAAGTCCTATATAGTTGTAAAACCCTTACACACCTGCAGATACCTATGTTGAGTTGAGTTAAGTTGAGTCAAAAATTGACATTAAAGCACTCGGGGCATTCCCATGCATTCCCCGTCCTCATTTTAAGCAGCCAGGGCAGACAGATACCTATAATACACACTATTAAATTTATAAGCAACCTTTATCTAACCTTGCATTCATGTTATACATTTTGAAGTAATCAACTTTTTGAAAAATGGCTTCGGCGTGTTTTGGCAGTGGACGAAAAAAGTAGGTCGCCAGAAAGACAGCACTTTGCTTTCAGTTTCAGTTTCGCTTTTCGTAATCGTTAACAAGAAACGGACACAGACTCGCACAGTCATCATACACTATCACATGCACACGCGCGCGCTTGTGCACACACACTCACACGCATACTGTCTAGACAGACGTATGTTTTATGCAAATTGTTAACGTAAATTCAAGAACTGCGGTTGAACATAATTCTACTTCTTTTTGTTTTCTTTGGATCTTTTTTGTCTTCCATTCTCCCAGTCACGTAGGTTAAGCAGTTAGTCCCACAATTGCCAGTACAAACAAACAAGTCAGTTGTCTCTACTGCTACTAAGATTAAATACCACGACTGCTACTTTTTCTACTGCTTGTAATGCTGCTGCTTTTGCTGCTGCTATTACTACTACTACTGCTGCTGCTGCAACTACTACTACCAGCACCACTATTATCAATACTCCTACTGCAGCTGTTGCCATTACTAGTACTACTACTGCTGCTGCTACTCCTGCTTCTACTACAGCTGCTTCTGCTACTACTACTTCAGCTGCTGCTACTACTATTACTGCTGCTGCTACATTTACTAATGTTACTCATGGACGCCAGAACCGGGTAGCACAAGCACCTTCAGCTTATTTCCCATTGTCGGGGTGGACGTGGTTAAGAAACCCCCTCTGTCAATTGTTAGGAATCAATATATTAAAAGTCCTACAACAACAGCAACAACAATAACAATCACAACAACATAGATATCTATTACTAATAGAACGAGAATAACAACGACATTTACAAAAACAATAATTACAAATATTTCTACTACTTCTTCTTCTTCCTTACCTCTTCACGTCCTCTTTCATCGCTTCGGGTGTCGAAGGAGATATAAGGTCCTGCTTCGTGCTCTTCTGGCTGCTTCACCCATGGACACATTGTGGTGCTGTAGAGTTTCTCTGATGTTATCCTTCCATTTCGTTTTTGGTCTACCTCTTGCTCAATGTCCTTTTTCTTTTCTGGTAAATGCTTTGTAATGCATAGCATCATGAGGCATTCTCTCCAAGTATGCAAACCATTTGATTTGCTGTCTTTGTATGAAATTAGATTGGTTCTGTGCCGCTTTTATCTCGTGTGACCTCATTCCTAATTGTATCTCTTCTGGTCACTCCTGCAGTCTTTCTCAGACACCTCATTTCCATGGTTACTAATTTTCTTTTATGTTTTCTTGTGAGTGACAAGGTCTGGCACTTGTAGCAGAGGGTGGAAATGAATATGCTTTGTATGAGATGTCTCTTTGCACTGACTTGAATTGCATTATGCTGTAAGAGGGGAGCTAGCTGTCCCAATACTGGGCCAGCTTTACTGCATCGGATGTCAATTTTTTCGTCCAATTTACCATCTTCAGTGAAAGTTGTTCCAAGATATTTAAACACAGATGCCTGTTTAATGTATGTATGCTCTATTGCTATGTTTAAATCCGGCTTCTTTTTTCCTATTGACATTATTTCTGTCTTTTCGTTGTAGATTCTCATATTATTTGATTTAATTCTTTATTCATGGATGTGAGACGCTGTTGCGAATTCATGACTGTATCTGCAATCAATTCCTGGTCATCAGCAAAGTTATTCATCGATGTCACTATTATTTTCGTTCCTGTGTGTGGCATCCTTGCTTATACTCTCAATGTAGGTAATAAACAGGAGTGGTGATAAGCCACATTCCTGTCTTACTTTAGATTTTACTTTGAATGGTTTAGATTTTCCCTGATCTAATTACTCTTCTACAATAGCTATATATTGAAATCATCAATGAGGTGTTTACTTACTCTATATCGAGCCAATAGTTTCAATGATTTGTGTCTATCGACTCTGTAGAAAGCTTTCTCCTGGTCATCAAATGCTAGCAATAACTTCTGATCATTTTCTATGTTCCTTTATATTAACTATTTACGTGTGAAGATTGCATCTGTGAAGCTTCTATTTCTTTTGAAACCCATCTATTCTTCTGTCAACTGTGGATCTATCACTGGTCGAAGCCTCGTTTCTATCATCTTAACGTACATTTTCCCAACACGACTTACAAGAGAGATGCCTCGATATTGATTGCATTCTGGCTTGCTTACCTTGTTCTTCCACAGTGGTACAACTACTACTACTTTTCTACTCCTTCTACAACGATAACAACAATAGTAACAATAAATACTGCAATGAACACAAATACGACGACAATAACAACAACAACTACTAACACCAATAAAACAACAACTGTACCACTACCATTATTAGCACCACGAAACCAATATCAACGATAACTGCTTCTATGTTCTTACTGTGCACCACTACTGAAGGTTAGTTGCGTATCCTTTACAGGACGTTGCAGAACCAATCCCAACAGCCCCTGGCTATTTTTTAGTTTTTCTAGGCAAATTTACGTCCAGTAGTTTAAAGGTTAGTTACGTATCCTTTACAGGACGTTTCAGAACCAAACTCACCAGCCCCTGGCTGTGTATGAGTTTTCTATGTAAATTTACGTCCAGTAGTTTGCCATTGCTTCTGGACGGTCAGCTTTCTTGATACCACTGTCGAAACCAACGCAAAGCGTGTGGCCCGCAGCTGGAATCGAACCCGGCATCCCGATGCGAGGCGTTCGCATCGACTTAACCACAGAGCCGACGCACTACTAGTACTACTAATATTACTACTACTACTACTTCGACTATTACTACTATTAGAAGTAGCAGTGCTGCTGTCTCTCTATTTAGAGGTGATTACTTAAACTTCAGGATCATTCGCCTCTTATTCTTCTGCCTTTTATCCCCTCTTAGTGTTTCTACTTTCATGGTGTACGATCTCGTTGCTGGCATCATTGGATTCATTCTCACTAAATGACAAAACCGTTCCAGTCTAGGTTTTTGACTGAATTTAACTATAGGCGTTGTTCCAATAGTTCTTGTAATGTCTTCATTTCTTACATGATATGTTTTAGTTTTGTTTACAGTCTTTCTCACAAATCTTAGTTCGCAGCTAGTTAGTTTTGTTTCGTGTTCTTTAGTCAGTGCCCAAGTCTGACATGGACAGAACAAGGTTGCTGCGGGGATTGCAGCTATAATGTGCCCCTAAGTCTCGTGTGCAGAGTCGGGTGTTTTGAAATTAAGATAAGTTGATACATGATAGTGTGTGCTTGTTGGATTCTTGTTTCGTAATAGGACAAATATCTCCGCCATTGCTGGTCCCAAGTAAGGATGAAAATGAGGGGGGGGGGGGAAATTGTGTGTAAGGCCAGCTACCTCACCACAAGTCTTTTTCATAGCTACAGAAACTCGCAGAAAAAGACCCCATTCCGGTCAACAGAACAACCAAGCGGTATGTGGTATAGTAAGTGCATTAGTGACAATTACTGATAAAAGCCGCTTTGCCGAAGTAAGTAGTTCAACTCGCGAATTGCTTGGTTCTAAAGCAAGCACGAAAATTGGTTTTTGGGACATCAGAACCATGGCAGAAACAACAAACTCAGCCTAGGTAACAGGAGAAAAAGAAGCAATACCATCTAGATATACTGTGGTTCAGGGAAGTGAGATGGCCTGGAATAGATAAGAGGATGGTTCATGGTTTAACATTAATTTATTCAGGAAGAGAAGAGAAAGGGTTAGGTATAATGATGTCACCTCGAGTAGCAAAGTGTATGTTAAAGTATGAACATATTTCAAGTCGGATAATCAGAGCCGGATTTAATACCAGACATGTCAAAATGACAATACTGCAGTGCTATGCTCCAACCAATGATATTGAGCTGTTTTATGAACAAGTTCAGAATGAAACTGACAAGATTCCAAAACTTGATCTGTTAATAGTATTGGGAAATGTTAATGCTAAAGTAGGCGAAGACAATATGGGTGTTTAGAGAGCTATGGAAAAGGAAGAAGTCAACACAATGAATGAAAATGGAGAAAGAGAAGTTGTTACGCTTACAGTCAAACCTGGAGCTACCATATTTGCCCACAAAGAATTCATATAGGTTAGTTGCGTATCCTTTACAGGACGTTGCAGAACCAACCCCAACAGCCCCTGGCTGTTGTGTGGTTTTTTCTAGGCAAATTTACGTCCAGTAGCTTGCCAATGCCCCTGGACGGTCGGCTTTCTTGATACCACTGTCGAAACCATTGCAAAGCGCATGGCCCGCAGCTGGGATCTAACCCGACATCCCTTCATTACGAAGCGTTCGTATCGACTGAGCCACAGAGCCGACAAGAATTCAGATAATAACTTAGAATTCACCAGATGCGGTGACCAAGAACCACATTGACCACCTCTGTATCAACAGAAAATTCAGAACCGCTTTAACAAGGGAGCAGATGTTGGGAGTGATCATAGCCTATGCATAGGACGATTGTAACTGAAACTCAAAGCATGTGTTGAAAATTAACACAGCAGAGAATAGAAACTCAAAGACTTTGTAACGAAAACAATCAGCAAGAGATCCAGTTTGAATTTAGACAAGTACAACGTACTTGAATAGCGGGGGATGGGGGGGGGGGGAGATAGAGATAGAGATAGAGAGATAGAGAGGGAGAGAGAGAGAGAGAGAGAGAGAGAGAGAGAGAGAGAGAGAGAGAGAGATAGAGAGAGAGCAGTGCATTAAAGACAAATGGAACAAGATAAAAACCACTATCTTGGAAGAAGCAGCGATTAGTAGTCAAGGATTAAATTACTTCTTCTTAGCGATCAGTTTTTTATGCTTATATCAGACCATCGGGTGGGTTGCCTCTATGAACTCGCATTTCAGCAGCAGCCCCTTTTTGGTTCCCCATAGCTTGCTCTGCAAACTTTGCTCTTGATGCCAGGTGTCTTTTCGAAGTTGCAGGTAGAGTGGGCAGATCTGCAGAATGTGCTCAAGTGTTTTTGGTCCTGTCTGACAGGCACACTATGGGGACTGTACCGTCTTTATTTTAT